GCCATGGGGCTGTCCCCAGGGTGGCCGAGGGTGACAGGGCTGTGGTATCTCCCAAGGGTGCTGGTGGTGTCCCCAGCATTCCTTTGCCACCCACAGCGTCACTCGGTCTTCCCCATATCCCCTCTGAAACCCTCCCATATCCCCATGCCGCTCCACCATCCCCAGTGCCACCCCATGCCCCATCCCCTCTGTCGCCCCCAGTGTCACCCCCACCGATCCCAGCCCTCCTGGGCCCACCATGTCACCAGTTCCTCGCTTCCAACCCCATGGTCGCCCCATCCCCTGGGCACCCTGTGCCACTCGGTCCCCTGTCATGTCCCCTGGCACCCCAGAGACCCTCATGTCAGCCTCCAGGACCCCCAACGCTGTGCTCAGGACTGAGCACAACCCAATATCCCCGTCCACACTCCTCACCTGCGTCCTGGGGGGGCTCTGCCCGCTGCCACCCTTATATTGGTGACAGGGCCACATGTCCCCAACCACAGCCTTGTGACACTCCCGACCACCAACTGCTGGGGACATGCGGGGGGGGACAGGGGGGGGACCCCCGGGGGGGGGGGGTTCTGCCCACACCCTGCCCAACCAGTGCTCAGGGTGTGTTTGGTCCAGGGAAGGGGGGTGCAGGGGGCTCAGGGAGGGCGCTGAAGGAGTTTGGAGCGCAGGGGCTCAGCATAGAGACTCTGGGAATTTGGGGTGCAGGGCCACGGGGAGGGGGCTGTGGGGGTTTGGGGTGCAGGGGCACAGGGGGCTTTTAGGGTTTGGGGTGCAGGGGCATGGGGAGGGAGCTCTGAGAATTTGAGGTGCAGGGGCACAGGGATGGGGGCTGTGGGGGCTTGGGGTGCAGGGAGCTTGGAGAGGGAGTGCTGGGAGTTTGGGGTGTGTGGTCTCAGTACGAGATCTCAGGGAGTTTGGGGTGCAGGGGCACAGGGGGCTGCTGGGAAAGGGGGTGCAGAGAGCGTGGGGGTGAGGATGGGGATTTAGGGTGCAGAGGAGGGGGTGCAGAGCCCTGGGGGAGCTGTGGGTGCTGAGCTGCCAGTCAGGGGGGCCAGTCGGGGGAAGGGGGGGTCTGGGGGAGTCGGGGGGGGCCGTGGGCAAACGGCCGGGCCAGACCTGGGGGGCCACAGCCGCTGGGGAGGAAATGGCCCTTGGGCAAGCACAGCTGGCGGGAGATGGTATCAGCACCCCAACATCCCCTCAGCACCCCTCTGCACCCCCAGCACCCCACCCCCGGGACACGCTGAGCCCCACACACCCACACCCACTCCTCGGGCTCGAGCAGCCCCCACCCCTGCGCTCCCAGCCCCCGCTTTCCCCCCTGCCCCTGGTGTCCCTCCAGTGCCCCCCGGTGTCCCCCTGGTGCCCCCAAGTCCAGGCTGGGGTGGCGCAAGGCTGTGGTGGGAACACATGACCCTGTCACCCTTATAAAGGGGACAGGGGGCAGATCCCCCCAGCCCCCAGGTGAGGAGCGGGGACAGGGGCATGGGGAGTGCTCAGCCCACAGCTGCTGGGGCTGGGGGTAGGGGTGGACATCCCTGAGGGCTGGCACCGGGGGCTCTGGGGTGCCAGGGGGAGGTGGGGGTGGCACAGGGGATGGTGGAGGGGCATGGGGCATAGAGAGGCAGAATGGGGTGAGGGTCACGGGTTGGCACCAGGTGTGACAGAGGCTCGGTGGGGACATGGGCGGTGTCAGAGCAGACGTGTGGAGGATGGGTTGTCACCAAGAGGGGTACCAAGAGGGGCAGAAGGGCTCTGGACCACAGGGGTGTCCCCAGGGGGGTGGAGGATGACTGGGCTGTGGTATCTCCCAAGGCTGCTGGTGGTGTCCCCAGTGTCCCTGAGTGTCTCCCCACCATGTGGCCCTGCCTGCTGCTCGCCCTGGCCCTGCTGGGCACTGTGCCCACCAGCCACTCCAGTGAGTGTCCCCCTGCCCCTGTGAGTGCCCCCCACGCCCCCGTCTGCCCACGGGGACATCCTGGGGACACCCTCAGTCCCTGCCACCTCACTACCATGCCCACCTCGCCAGTGCCGTGTGCCCAGGGCTGGCAGCAGGCGGCAGAGGGACCCCGGTGCCAGCCCTCACAGCCCTGTCCTCCAGCCCCCCGCCAGCCCCAGGGGGTGCCCGCGGCCGAGGCCATCCCGCAGCCCCACTACGCGGTGGTGAAGCGGCTGTGCACCTACTCGCGTGCCCAGGTGAGGGGACGTGGGGCACGGTTGGGTGCCAGGGGGTCCCGGGGGGTTACCAGGGGGTCCCGGGGTGCCAGGCCATGGCCATCCCACAGCGGCATTGCCGGGAGGTGCCGGTGGGAGGTGTGTGCGGGGGTGCAGAGGTGCGGGTGGGGTACCGGCGGGTGCCCGGTGCCAGGCTGTGCCCGTCCCGCAGAGGTACTGCCGGGATGTGTACCGGGGCCAGCTGGCCTCCGTGCACAGCGCCTCCCGCAACCAGGAGCTGCAGAAACTGGCCCGCACCTACACCCGCATCGCCGTCTGGATCGGGGCCGTCACCAGCCGCAAGGTGAGGGGGCACCGGGGGGGCGCCTCGGCTGGCCAGGGGGGCTGGCACCGGTCTGGGGGGACAAGGGGCTGGGTGTGGAGTGCTGGGGCTGCTTTTTGGAGGTGAGGGGCTAGGTGGGGGTGCTGGGGCTGGCTGGGGGGTGCCGGGTACCAGGCGCCCGGGTGCTGGGCTTGGTTTCTGGGAGATGAACCGGGGTATGGGATGCTCAGGATGGGGACTGGGTCTTGAGGGGTGAGGAGCTGGGTAGGGGTGCTGGGGCTGGTTTTGGGGGGAGAGGGGCTGGGTGTGGCATGCTGGGGGCTGTCACTGGGGGCTGAGATGTCACCACGGCAGGGAGGGAAGTGGGCGTCATGCTGGGAGGACTCCAGCCCCTGGAACTACGCCAACTGGGGACCCACCTATCCCCACCACATTGTCACCACCTGCACCACCCTCAGCACCCGAGGTGAGGGCATCCACACCTCCCCACCCACCACGCCGAGCACTTGGGCTCGGGGGACACGGGGCTACTGGGGACAGCAAGGGAGCCACTGGGAAGGGGCACAGGGCCACTGAAGACAATGGGGAGGGCACTGGGAGGGGACACAGAGCTACTGGGAGCAATGGGAGGGGGTTGAGGGCTACTTGAGTCACTGGGGGGGGGCACTGGGAGGGGGCACAGGGCTACTGGGAGCAATGGCAGGGGGTTTGGGGTTACTTAGGGCACTGGGGGGGGCACTGGGAATGAGCTGCAGGGTACTGGGGGCACTTGGAGGGGCATAGGAGGCATTGGGAGGGGTTACAGGGCACTGGGGGCCACTGGGAGGGTTATAGAGGGGCTCTGGGGTCCACCTCATGGCCCTGACCACTGTCCCTGTCCCCAGACGGGTTCTGGCGCAGCCGCCCCTGCTTCCAGCTGCGCCCCTTCATCTGCCAGTACTGATCTCCCAGTGCTGCCACGGCCTCCCAGTTCCCTTCCCAGTAAAGCAGAGGTGCTCTGAGCCGTGTCTGTGTGTGCAGGGGGCCTGGGGAGGGGGTTGGGGGAGCAGCACCGTGGGTGGAGGGGGCAGCGACGTTTATTACCCCCAAACCCCCCCATCCCACCGGCACAGCACCCCCAGGCCAGTACAAAAACGGGGTGCTGGGTGCCGGGTTCCTGGCGGGTGAGGGGCTCAGTGAGGCATCTCGGCGGGGGTCTCGGCAGCAGGGGGGGCTGTCAGGGGCGTGCCAGCTGCCTCCAGCTCCTTGGCTCGCCGCCGGCACTCGCGGGCCACCACCACGGGGCTGACGAAGGCCAACAGCACCACGGCGATGAGCCCCACGTTCACCTGGGGAGGGGGGAGCGTCCGGGAAGGGGGCTGAGGGGCTGACCCCACCCAGGGGGAGCCCCTGGGCCAGCCCCATGGCCACCCCAGTCCCCTGTGCTAGGCCAGGACCCCCATTTTCCCGGGGCACGACCCCCGCCCTAGTGTGGGGCAGGACCCTCATCCCTCCCGGGGCTGGACCACCATTTCCCCGTGGGGCAGGAGTCCCACCTTACTGTGGGAGAGCACCCCAATCCCTCTCTGGGCAGGACCCCCATTCCCTCAGGATCAGGACTCCCATCCCTCCCCGGAGCAGGACCCCCATTCCCCCGTGGAGCAGCCACCCCATTCCCGATGGAGCAGCCCCCCCACCCATCGGGGAGGGGCCTCAGGGTGCACTCACATAGAAGGGGTCCCCTTGGAGCGGCCCCTGCACCAGGGTGACACAGGGGTACTGTAGGAGGGCCACCAGCGCCGACAGTGCCATGGCCAGCCCGTACAGCTTCCCAAAGTGCTGCGGGGGGAACCTGCCGGGCACCCCTGTCACTGCCGGGCAACCCCGACACCCTGCCCCTGGCACCCCTCCCAGTACCCTTCTGGCACCCTGACCCCTGACAGCCCCACTCTGACACACTGTTCTTTGGCGCTGCCACCACAATACCCTGTCCTCTGACACCCCCAACCGTGCCACCACCACCACGTCCCCTGCCACTCCCTGACACTGCCCACACCCTCTGCCACCACCACCACGTCCCCTGCCACTCCCTGACACCGCCAGCATCCTCTGTCACCACCATCACGACCTCCCCACCCTCCAGCCCCAACACCCTCCCCTTCCACCCCTGCCCTGACACCGCCACCCCATCCCCTGCCACCGCCGTCCTGTCCCCTGGCACTCCAAGCCCCATCACCACCCCGTGCCGCCCCTGCACCAACCCTACCGCCCCGTCCCCTTGCCTCCCTCGCGATGGCCCTGCCACCACCCCCTGCCACCCCCAGCCCGTCCCCGTGGCCACGCCCTGGCACTCACGCGATGGCCAGGAAGGCGGCGTTGCCGCCGTAGAGGAAGGAGCGGCTGATCACCTGCAGCACGAAGGTGGCGAACTGCACCTGCAGGACGGGCACGGCGGCGCACACGGAGAACAGCAGGCACTGCACCACCGTCACCACCAGGGACACCACCGCGGCCCGCAGGTCTGCCAGCGCGCCCCGGGCACCTGCGGGCACGGGGGTCAGGCCACGGGGACACGGCCCCCTCCCCGAGCGCCGCGGGGCTCGGGCACGGCAGCGGTGGCACACGGTCACCCGCCCAGATGAGGGCATGGGAGGACAGAGACCATCCCCAGGGCTGGAGGGGTGATTACCCCCCGGGGCAGGGGGCAAGAAGGGGTGGTTACGCTGGGGGGGGGGGGGTCTGGGGGCTCGGTCCCCCTCGGAGCAGGGCAGAGGGGACAGTTACCCTCGGGGCGGTGGCGCTTGCCCCGCTTGTGCCAGTCGAGGATGAGGCCGTTCCAGGGGGCACAGAGCACCCCGCAGAGCTGGGTGAAGGCGAAGGCGTTGGTGTAGGTGCTCACTGAGGGGGGAGGACAGCGTCAAGCGGGGGCCAGCCCCGGGGGTGCCCGCCGTGCCCCCCGCGGTGCCGTACCCGCGTCGGAGTCCCCGTGCGACAGGCGCTCGAGCAGCGGGTTGAGGGTGCCGATGAACAGGTAGTGGCGCAGCTGCATGACGGAGAGCCAGGCCACGTGCCAGGCGAAGAGCCACGAGCACGCGCAGGCCCGGAACGTCGTCCTGGGCGGGGGGGCTTCACCTGCGCAGGTATCAGGGCAGGGCACGCAGGAACACGCCCCTCCCGGCCCCGCCCACCTGCTGAGGCACCTTGTCCCTCCCACCCGCTGGAACCTCCCCCCCCAGTCCACCTGTATGACCACACCCCTTCACCTGTAGTGCCACGCCCACCCTCTGACCACCACACCCACTCCCAGGCTCCACCCCTTCACCTGCTTATTAATATATCCTCCAACCACGCCCACCACAGACCACACCCTTTCATCTGCATAACAGACCGCGCCCACCCCCGCAGCCACGCCCATTGGACCAAACCCCTCCCCACGATAAGCCCCGCCCCCTCCAGACCAGATCCCTTCTCCCAGCACCTCGAGGAACGGGGGGCTCCAGGGGGGTCTCCTCAGGGCCATTCTCCTCTGGGGGCCTCTTCTCCTCGTAGGTGCGGTAGGAGCGGGAGCGCCCTGGGCATTGCAGCCTGTGGCAGTGCCTGTGTCACCTGCTGCCCGTGGGGTGGGACCCACCCCCCAGCAGGGCACACTCAGCCCCCCCATCAACCCCCGTACCCGTAGTCGTAGCCGGGGGGCAGCGGGTAGGGGACACGGGTGCGTGGCATCAGGAAGAGGGTGCGCAGCAGGTGCCAGGCACTGCAGGCTGCCAGGAAGAGGAACATGGCTTGCAGGGACAGCCCCTGTGCGTACAGCAGCTGGGGACAGGGACAGAGATGGGAGTCAGGGACAGGCTGCCACTGGCCACCGTGGCCACCTGCTCAGGCCCTGGGTCTGTCCCCACATGTGGCCCCAGCAGTGGATCAACTGTGTCCCAGACTGTGTGCCCAGTATTTCCACAGTTTTGACCCAACTCTGTCCCCCGTATGTCCCCAGCTGTGTCCCCAGATGTCACCCAATCGTCCCCAGCTCTGCCCTCCCCTGGGGGCACCCTGCACCCTCGCCCACCACCGCCACATCCCCCCGCCCTGTGCCCACCTTGACGATGAGGAAGATGGCAGAGGAGGAGTCGAAGGCCCCATTGTAGAGGGTGATGATGATGGAGCGGTACTTCCCAAACAGGTTGCCCACCTGGCACCGAGATACAGCCCCCCATGCCATCAGGGTCACCCCGTGCCAGGCAGGTTGCCCCTGTCGCTGGGTGGGAGTCGGGGTGCTGGGGGAACCCACCTGCATGTTGGTGAGGATGAGGAGGATGCCGCCCACCGACAGCATGGACATGGCCGGGAAGAGCAGCACGGCCAGCTCTGGGGACACAGGGGTCAGCAGGGACAGTGGGGGTCCCCAACAGGCCCCCCACAGGGCTGGGGTCCCCCTGCCCACAGGGTCTCACCTGGAGTGGAGAAGGCGACGAGCAGGGTCCCGCCCGCGTAGAGGGAGCTGAGGGGACAGCGGTGACACATGGAGATGGGGTCCTGGGGAACACAGGTCACCCCAGCCCCATGGATGCCCCTCGTGCCATCAGGACCTTCCTGCCCCATCCTACCTGGACACCCGGGTACCCCCCATCTCTCACCAGCCCCCCGTTACCCCTGGCACAGGGCTCACATGGCGATGAGGCGAGCGGCCAGGGTGCCGAAGCGGTCGAAGACGACGCCCATGGGGAAGGTCATGAAGTTGTTCATGAAGGAGCCGATGGTGAAGACCAGGGAGAACTGCTCATCCTGTGCACTGCAGTCTGGGGGTGACTGCAGTCAGTGGGGCGTGGGGACATGGGGGCACAGGGACATGGGTGTGGGGACACCGGGGGCACCGGGGATGGGGGGATGCAGGGACCCGCGGGCACAGGAACAGCAGACAGCAGGAACCCAGGGAAACCCTGGGGATGTGGGGACACCGGGGACATGGCTGGGGTCTAGCAGGGACATGGGCATGGAGACAGTGGGGACACAGGATGCTGCAGGGCATCAGGACATTAGGGACAGCAAAGACGTGAGCATGGGGACAGCAGAGACTTTAGGCAAAGGGACAGCGGGCACGCAGGGCACAAAGGGCATCAGGACAGTGGGGACACGAGGACAGGGACGGGCAGGGTTCCGTACCGAGCCCCTCGGTGTGGTTGGTGGGGGAGGGCTGGCACAGCCACCGGAAGTAGCCCCGTTCCTTCAGGACGAAGACGAGGGAGGCCCAGCCGAAGATGATGCCGCAGAAGGCGCCGCACTCCAGCAGCCCCGACACGAAGGTGCCCAGGCGCTTGGCCAGCCCCGCGCCCCCCGCCATGGCACCCGCCCGGG